AGGAAAAATACATTTTAATGCATATGGTTTCATTAGAAAGGCAAAAATGTATAAATTGAATTTAATTATATTATTAAATAAATAAAAGAAATCTGTACTAAATTAATGCTTACCTCTAATGTCTCATCTTCTTCGAGAGATCCTAATAAAATATCAGCTAAACATGCAATTTGTAACAGAGCAAGTATTACAAAACAGTAAATATATTCTAGAGTTGAATTTTTTGTACAAACATATTTCAATTTTTTAGTTTTTTCATCTTTACGTATATGAATCGTCGATAAACCAAAGATTTTGAACATATAATATAAAGGTAAAGTCGCACGTACAAAACACATTTTATTAATTGCTGGAAATTAAGACATTAATATAAAGTACTAAATTGAATTATCAGTAAATAATTATATAAGAACATTATCAATAATTTGTTATTACCTTTTTTGTTCTTAGTGGATCCTGCTTGGGGCATGGGCACAATTTTCACCACCATGATTATACTTTTTTTATATAAAATTTACATCATTTGTTAATTTTACATAATTTATATTTCTATAATATCTATTCTATAATTTATATTATTTATCAGTTTTGTAAAATTATTATAAGTTCGCATATTTATTGAATTTGTTCCAACAACTTCACCTTAGTCTTTAGCAATGTGAATGAAAATAATTCAGAATCGCGATAAAATATATTGCGATATGTATATACAATATTTTTGGAACTTAATAGTTATTTATTACTTGCGTTACATGCATAACCAAATTATATAAACACATCAATAATAAATCTGGTTCAAATATTAATAAGAAGCATGAATCAATATTTGTATATATCGCAGTTCCCAAATAAAGGACATACTAGCTTTTCTTATAAAAAATGATAAAACTTTATTTATTATATATATATATATATATATTATTATTATTATTATTATTATTATTATTCCGATATAATAAAAAATATCATAGCTTTAGTAAACTGTTGATTACGTCTCTTTTCTGATGGAGAAATTCCTTACTATAATTTTGTTTGTAATAAAAATCTAAATTAATATTCAATGAGCTAATAATATTTTTGAATAAAGTTTCGAAAAAAGTATTTTACTGAAAATTGGTATATTATCATAAAGTGAATAAAAAAACTTATTGAGTTGAAGTTATTCAACAATTAATTTTTATTTTATTAAAAACCGATAGATATAGGGAGATTTTGACCCCGAAATGCCTTTTTTTTTTACTTTTTTTACTGGATCTCCGAAACCGCTAGATTTACCTTCATGAAAATTTGATCAGTCCTTTATCTTGTTAATACAAGTAAAATGTTTTCTGAGTTATTCAAATCGGACGCTCCGTTCTATTAAAAACTGAGTTACAGTTTTTAGCACTTTTTGTCCCATATCTTCAGAACGGCTTGACCTGCCTTCGCCAAAAACTAATCAGCACGTCTCCTTATCAATACGAATCGAATGTTTTTTGGATTATTCAAATCGCTTCATCCGCGTTCCCGAAATCGTCGACGAAAATTTGTATCCGCACACACACATACACGCACACACACAAACATAGATACACACATACACACTTACATCCATTTTTTCTAATGTCAAATTGTTCAGAAGGTTTTGAAACGTAAAAATATATAAAAAATTTCATTTTCGATTTTTTTGCGATTACTATAACTTGCCCTACGAAAAGTTAATAAAGCTTTATTATTTGTTTGCATAACAATTTTTTGCTAATTTATATTTTAAAATTGATATATAAAATAAACGCTTATAATAAGTTGTTATCTACATGTGTTAGTATCAGTAACAGTATTAAAAAATAATATTTCAATGATATATTTTCTTATCATCTTCTTAGGGTGCCATGCAATTTGTTGGAATTTTCTTTTCCAAGTTGTTAGGTGCTAATAATTAAATTTGTTTGAAATTTTTAACGCCCTTTTTTGATTGCCAAATTCTGGAGACAATTTTTAGCTTCCCGTAGGGTAGTTATAGTAATGGGCCGAAAATCGAATACAAAAATTTTTGCATATCTTCACGTTTTGAAGATTTCTGAACATTTTGGCATACCTCAGAAAAAATAGGTGTGTCTGTGTTTTGTATGTCCGCATTTTTTCGTCCACGTTTTCGGGCGCACGGATCAACAGATTTGAATGGTTCAAAAAACATTCGATTCCTATTAATAGGGAAATGTGCTGATTAGTTTTTGGCAAAGGTAGGTCCAGCAATTACGGAGATACGATGCAAAGAGTGTAGAAAATACAAATCGAGTTTTTGAGAGAACAGAGTATCCGATTTGAATAATCTAAAAAATATTCTATGTGTAATGATTGGAAAAAGAGGTGATCAGTTTTTGGCAAAAGCAGGTCCAGCCATTTTAAAAATGCAGAGCTAAATGTGCAAAAATTGTCAGCTTTTGAGAGAACTGAGCGTCCGATTTGAATGATTCAAAGAACTTTGAGCTTATTTTAACAAAATAATTTTTAGGGTGCCAATTCTTAGTAATGCAATTTGTTTGTATTTTCTTTTTCAAGTTATTAGGTGCTTATGATTAAATTTGTTTGAAATTTTTAACGCCTTTTTTCAGTTTCCAAGTTCTAGAGACAATTTTTTAGAATTTAGTTTCTAAGACGTTTTTTAGGGTGCCAATTTTTAACTAACGGTAATTAGTTAACAATACCAAAACAATGGTAATTTATCATTTCAGAAACTAATATTTCTAGTCTCACACATTTCAACTAATGTATAACGCCAGTCGCTCTTACAATATTTATTGCTAAAGCCATACGTGAAAGGTATAATATATTTTTAAACGCAAAAAGATACACAATGAATGAAATAGAATGTGAAGGTATCTTAATAAATTGGTTCATATGTTATAAATTGCGTAAATTTTTATTCGAATGAATTAATGCATCCATTAATAAAATTAGACAAGTGAAAAACCATTCTTATAATTGATCCTATTGAAAATAATCTCTGACCAAATAAATACTAAATTCAAATAATACATTAATAAGGACACTACTGGCTGGAGTGGATGAAAATCAATTCTACCTTAAATACTATGACAATTTTTGTTTTGGCTTTGTTAGTTATTTATAAAATGCGCAGGGAAACAGTTATAGATATAATATATAAAACATTTTTTTATAGAATTTGAAAATATTCCATTTCATTATGGCCATAACATATATTTGGTAGCAACTGTATCGCCAGCTCTATTTATGAATAATTAATTCCAGACGTGATTTGATTTCGGCAAGTGTTTGTTTACTTGCAGACACATGATCAATCTATCAACGAATAACAAATGTATATATATATATATATATATATATATTAGGGTGGTCCTTAATATGGACATTTTCGAATTTCCTTGCTCCCAAGGGTTCAAATGGTTCGAAATTGATAAAAAACAATTCTCTGAAAGTTTTAGCTCTCAATATTAACTTTTAGATAGTGCGCAATTTAATCCAACTTCGTATAGGAATAACATGGAAAAAAATTGAAAATTAAAAAAAAAAATTTTAGGTATAACTTAGCGACAAATGAATTAAAAGTGAAAATTCGTGTAATTTTTTAATGAAAATTCGACGCTTTGCAAAATTTTTGAAATTCTTTTCATGCTATTTCCATACAAATCTTTGATTGAATTGAGCTCTATCTAAAAGACATTATTAAGAGCTAAAACTTTCAGAAAATAATTTTTTATCAATTTGGAACCATTTGAACCCTTGGGAGCAAGGAAATTCGAAAATGTCCATATTAAGGACCACCCTAATATATATATATTTGCATATATTAGGCTGGTCCTTAATGTGGATGTTTCAAATTTCCTTGCTCCCAGGGCCAGAAATGCTTCCAAATTGTTAAAAAATTCTCTGAAAGTTTTAGCTATGAATATCAACTTTAAGATAGTTCGCCAATTATCAGCCAACCAAAGTTTCTTGATTCTTCTTCCTAAATAAATACTTATTTTATATTTATGATCTTATTTTATATCTATGATTTATTATTTTTCATTTATGATCAAAATAAGCAAACACGATGTTATTCTCAAAACTTTGATACTTTTGCCGCTAGGTCAAAAGCCAAATGAAATTTTATCCATATTATTTCCATAAAAACTTTGGCTGGAGTGCGAACGATCTTAAAGTTAATATTAATATTCAGAGAATTTATTTTATCAATTTGGAAGCATTCAAGCCCCTGGGAAAATTCGAAAACTTCCATATTAAGGACCACCATATTATATATATATATATATATATATATATATATATATATATATATATAGAATTTTATGATATGAGTGGAACGAATATTAAATGTTTAATATGAACAAAACAGCACTCAGATTTTTTTAACACAGACCATGGTGGGCCTCATCATCAGTGTAATTTCAATAACAGTTACAGTACCCTGTCAAGCATTGATTGAAACAATTGTCACTTGCCAATGCAAGGAATAGTTGATGTTTTATATTAAAAAGTCAAAATATAGTTTTAAATAAAATATTAAAGAATGTTTAGTAATAAGTAACTGTTATTGAAATTACACTGATGATGAGGCACACCATGGTCTCGAAACGTTTGTAATCATAAAATAAAGTTGTGTTAAAGAAATCTGAGTGCTGTTTTATATATATATATAATATATATATATATATATTGTGGGTATCAGCTTGTTATTTTTATAAGCAATAAAATATTTTGCACTATTATGTATTCGGCGTATACATATGCAGTAGTAATATTCAATAGTTTTAATACCAAATTTTAATTTAAAATTTAGTAACATAAAACAAATACTACGATAATAATACGAACAATGAATAACTATGTTTTTACTTTGAATAAAACGTTTATTTACAATATAAAAATCAACAGTCGTTTTAATAATAACTAAAAGGAAAATATGTACATATAACAACGAATCTTAATCAACAATGAACAATCAGATCTTGGACATTAATTTTATGATAAAAAATCTAGTGCTTCTTCTCTTTCTTTGTGTGGTGCAAGACGTGCTTGTAGATGGTGACATATACTGGATAAGGATGTGGGACCTTGACTGGATATTTCTTCTCAACGTGGACGGGGTAAGGTTTTTCGACGATATATGGAACATGTTTTTCTACAGTATAAGGTACTTTCTTTTCAATAACTTTTGTTACGACTTTGTAAGTTGGTACTTCAATAGGTTGCTTAACAGCTACATGAACTGCATACGGTTGTGGGATTCCGACCTTGACGTATTGTGGGATAGCTTTAGGAACTGGATGAGGAATTGGGACTCCGATCTTCTGATATACTGGCACTGGAACATGTTTAGTGTGCTCGTGGGTAGTGGTGTGAACGTGTTGGACATGGTGCTCCTCGCCGCCGTCAGCGCCTCCGCCGCCTCCTAGAGATTCTTCTGATTCGTGTCCGCCTTCTTCGAAACCGTGACCGCCATCACCAAAGCCGTGTCCGCCTTCGAATCCGCCGGAAGAACCACCGCCAAAGTCCTCGTGGCCGTATCCGCCGGAGAGGTGGCCAAAGTCACCATGGGAAAATCCGGGAGCTGCGTAGGTCAGGCACAGCACGGAGCTTATCGTCGCGAGGAGATACAAGGTTTTCTAGATTTTGACCAAGGAAGAGGAAATATGATTTGATTAATTTAAAGCGAACAGTATTTGATCGAAGCGCATCAATTATTACTTTAATAACAAGAAAATTTGATTCAATATCATGAGTGTCTACAAATTTGAGAAGAGAACTTTGCAAATTATTGCAAGTTTGGTTTTGCAAGATAAGTATTAAAATATTTAATTCATAGCATAAGTATCAACAAACTCATATTAAATTTGTCGCAAATGTTACAAATAAATTAAGTCCATTACAGGTGATTTTAATCCTTTTAACCCTCCGTCGGGCGCAGTCCAAATATGTACAGAATTGGGCGCAGTGTATCTGACAGATACAGATTATAATTATATTGACAGGAGGCTTATAGTTTTATATATTTTTATTTAATTTGCGTTTTTACAATGCTGAATATGTATATTATGTGTAAACAAAAACAAAATATATATTATATCAATATTATTTTTTATAATATAGCAAAATCTAAAAATCCGTACATGCGCTCAAAATGCTAGACTCACAAACCTTTATACGTTTAAATACAAAGACTATATAAACAATTAGGGTAGTAAAAATTTAGTGTTTTTTGCCATTTTGTACGTCAAATAAAATTTGGCTTAGTACGTTTTTTTTAACAAAATTGCTACAAGCAAAATATGCGAAGTTCAAAGACAATCTAATATGGACAAATAAATAGCAGACATAAAATAACGAGGCTACTGAGATATGGAGGTCTCGATGACATCAAATTATGGAGAAACATGCAAAAATGTTTGCCCAGTCTGATCAGCTGCGCCCGACGGAGGGTTAATCATCAATTCAAAACGCACTAAAAATAAGTTATGTAAGCACTAGACAATCACAAAATATTTTCTATTTCCAACACGTTTTCTTCCCGAATTTGTAGCAGACGATTTATCCAAAATGTGTACTTACTTGTGCTACCATTTTGTACAAATTAAAAATGCCAAAGACACACAACACTAAAATAGATGTTTCTAGTCAAAAGACCTAATGTTCACTGTTAATTTGTAAACTGTGCATGTAGTCTTATATACCGCAAAGAAAGGCACTCCAATAGCACATGCACCCGAGAATATAGAGCTATCTGTAGTGACAGTAACATGAGGAGAAAGTTATTCAAAATCATATGCTTTTTATTATGCACTTTTTGTGGAAATAACTTTTTTTTACTAACTAGAGCACTTGACATCTGTTCCTGGATTCGAAGGTGAGCGAATTTTTATATTTGTTCCTTTTTCGCGAATCATTTGCATTCGCGAACAACGCAGACGAGACGAGACATTCTCTCGCATGATTGATTTTCTGTGATGCAAAAAATTAATACGTTGTTGTGAATTGTCACATATAATATAAATTGCTTTGTTAATTAAGTTTAATTGGTAAAAGACTTTGAATAAAGTTTTTCATTAAGAATTAAAATTCATCATTGTTGTTAATAAAATTTATGCCAAACAGTGGATAAATTATCAAGCAATGGTGGATAATAATAAATATTGAATATATAGCAGGAGTTGATTATACAGTCTGTATTTTTTAACTTCCCGTAGGGTAAGTTATTGTAATGGGCCGAAAATCGGAATTGAAAATTTTTACATTTCTCGACGTTTTGAAGGTTTCTGAACGTTTTGGCATACCTCAGAAAAAATGGATGTGTGTGTGTGTGTGTGTGTGTGTGTGTGTATGTATGTATGGATACAAATTTTCGTCCACGTTTTCGGGCGTACGGATCAACCGATTTGAATGGTTTAAAAAACATTCGATTCCTATTAATAAGGAGAAGAGCTGATTAGTTTTTGGCAAAGACAGGTCCAGCAGTTACGGAGATAAGGAGCAAAGAGTGCAGAAAATAGAAATCGAGTTTTTGAGAGAACGGAGCATCCGATTTGAATTATCTAAAAAACATTCCATTAGTAATGATTGGGAGAAAGGGTTATTAGTTTTTCGCAAAGGCAGGCCCAGCCATTTCAGAGATACAGAGCTAAATGTACAAAAAATGGCAGTTTTTGAGAGAACTAAGCGTCCGATTCAATTGATTCAAAGAACTTTCTGCTTGTCTTAACAAAATAATTGATTTTGGAAAAAAAAATTTTGTACCATTTTTTTTTTTTTTTTTTTTTTTTTTTTTTTTTTTTTTTTTTAATTTTTTGTATATCGAAAATAATTTAGATTTTATTTTTAATTCTGACTATAGTTCTAATATACTTTAAACAAATAATTTCAACTCTGCAATTCAGTTTATATAATTCTTATAAATTTTAGACAATAATACAATATTTATAATAATCTATTTGAAAACATTCAATATTCCTCGAACGTTTCGTTACGGTACGGGAAGTTCCAGCAATTTGCCTTAAGGCACGATGCCACCCACCCCACTAGTTATCTTAAAACTTTCGACTCTGCTACTAAAACTAAATATATAATTAATAACCAATTTCTAGAATTCTGTATCTAATAATATATTATTACTGAAATTTGATTCTTGTTATACGTGTTCAATTCTCTATGTTTAGATATCAGAATTCTCTATGTTTATATATCATGTTCTAAAACCCTGGATTAAAAATATATATAAAATTGAATTAAATACTATAGTATAAATCACTTTTAGAACTACGATTCTTTGCAAATGTATACCTTTTAGTTAACTTCCAATTCTGTACAGTAACTGTAAGTTATAGTAATCGTCCAGAATTCGAAAATAAACATTTTAGCATATCTTCACAATTCAGAAGTTTCTGAACATTTTGGCATACCGCAGAAAAAATGGATGTCTGTGTATTTTGTGTGTACGCATTTTTTCCTTCACGTTTTCGGGCGAGAACTAGAATTATGTATTTAATATTATTATTGTAACTTGATTCTTGATATGCGTGTTCAATTCTCTAACTTTAGATATCATGTTCTAAAACCCTGAATTAAAAAATATAAAATTGAATTTAATGACTATAGAATAAATCAGTTTTAGAGCTACAATTCTTTGCAAATGTATACCATTCAGTGATATTTTTAACTTCCAATTCTGTAAGATATAGTAATCGTCTAAAAATCGAAAATGAACATTTTTGCATATCTTCACGTTTCGGATGTGTCTGAACATTTTGGCATACCGCAGAAAAATGGATGTGCGCGTGTATGTAAGTGTGTGTGTGTGTGTGTGTGTGTGTTTTGTACGGATTAAATTTTTCGTCCACGTTTTCGAGCGCACCGACCAACTGATTGGAAATATTTCAAATCTACAATTCAACAAACAGTCGATTCCTAATAATGATAAGACGTGCTGATCAGTTTTTAGCAAAGACATGCCAAGCCGTTTCGGAAATATAAATTATGTTTTTGAATGATTCAGAAAACATTCAATTCGTAATAATGGGGATGATTAGTTTTTGGCAAAGACAGGTCTAGCCGTTTTGAAGATAAGAAGCAAATTCTTTTTATGATTTAATTTTGTTAATCAAGATTTTAATGTCTTATTATATAAATGTGCAAAAAATTGTAGTTTTTGAGAAAACGATGCATCTATTTTGAATTAGAATTATTTGAATTGCTTGTCAACACCACTACCACTAGTAGAAACCACTAGTTTTTGGGGAAAGCAAAAAAAAAAATTATTTCAAAATTTAAAAAAAAAATCTATATAAATAAAGAATGCACATGTTATATAAATAAAGAATGCACATGTTATATATAATAAAAAACATTGTTATATATAATGATAGAAAAATTTATATAATAATTTTAAGACTATTACATATTACATTTATTTTAGGTTATAAAAGCATTTGATAAATGTACTAAAAAAAGATTATTATCATTACAAATGATAGAATCATTCCCATAGCGACTATTCTGTATAACTAGATTATGCCCAAGGGCTAGAAAGCCTTCTAACTTTAAAGCAAAAGTGCATTGTTGAGTATAAATATAAGATTAATGTAAAAGATATATAAGGTTTTACCAATTATGTACTAAGAAACAAATCCGATATGAAGTGATGATGCAGAAGATAAAATAATATTAATCGATGGTAGTAAAACAGATTTTAATATAGATTTGATGAAGAAGTAAAATGGATTTAGTGTAAATTGAAAAAACATGAACAAAAAATTGGAGAACCGTGCAAGTATTAGAGTTCCATCCTAATTTGTAATTTGTAAAATATGTTTATTATTAAAGTGTAATCATGAATAAATGTTTTGGGTTATAGGATTTAAGTAATTAATATAAATTTATATTGAAATTACATAATATGAAAAAATGATATCTTTACAAATCTTTAAGTGAATATCAAGAGATTGGTTAATTCTTGCAATTTAAATTAAAAAGTAACTTCAGTGAAACAAATGCATTTTTAATACCAAAATATTTATGATAATTGCTAGCGAATTTTCAATTAAATTTATTAAAATAACTAGTTGATATTGGTATTTTGCCTTGAGACAAGTTACATGAATTTCCCGATTTGTGTAAATAATTGACTTAATCCATGATAGATAAATTAATTTATAAGTAGTTAAAAGTATTCGAAGTGGATTTATTACACATTGTTGCAAATCGAACACGTCAACCCGATCGGAGTATTTTTTAAGAGCAAATTTTCAAAAATCAATAATTTTTATAATTGAGCCAGTTTTTTGTAGAATTTTAATTGTTTAGTATGTTCATTAAGACCATATACTCTATCGTTATACTAAGTAAATTGTCTAATTTTAATTTTAACAAATGTCAAAACAACTACTACTAATTTTCTCAAACTTTGATGAAGTTTTAAAATTAAACTACTTGTCGTAAGGCCGTAATTTTTCAGTAAGTTCTGTAAGACCATGATATATATCGCCAAAAAAAGTTTCATAAAAATCGGCTTAAATTTTTTTTCAACAGTTAGCTATAAGAAAACGGCTCGATAGAATTTCACCTAAAACTAATCTGTATCATTCCCAACTAATATCTTTCGAACAGTTTTTGATTT